GGACATCCTTTAGAGAACTCCAAAAGCCCCGTGTCGGAACCCCTGACATATCCCAGAAACATCCATTTAAAGTTCGGACTATATCGCCCGATATAACCGAGGCCAACATCAGTCAAACAACCGTGTCCGAGATACAAAGCAAATCTTCTAAGCTTTTCACAGCCCCTCAATAAAGCTCGGACCCCATTGTCAAGAGGCAAATCTGTTAACCTTTCTGACAGTCGAGCAAAGCTAAACGAAAATCACAGAGATTTTTTGAGTTCATCCCGATGGATTCCAACGATGCATTCGAGATGTTAGATACGTAAACGGCTATATATTCCAATTCAAGACATCCCTGAGCTAAAGCTGTTAATCCCGTATGTGAAACCACACCATCTTCGTTCCCCATTCTCAGCTCATCGGTACCTCGCTCGATTCTAAGTCTCTTTAGTCTCTTACAACTTCGAGCAAGAGCTTCTAATCCTCTGTCTCCAATAACATTCCTTGTCTGTCCATCAATCAAATGTTAGAACAAGATAAGAGTTGCGATTCCACGAAAAAAGTGCCGAAAAATGTTACCTCGAGAACTTCTAAGTTGGGGCATTGTTGAATCAACAGGCAGTGATCATGTGTTCCGAACAACACATTGATGAGATCCAGCTTCTTAAGCAACGATGCAAAGGGAAACACGATCGGCAATTCACGACTCGCCATGTATGTCAGACCCAATCGGCATAACCGCGGTGGGAACGTCATGGCATTATACCTGTCCGATTGCTCATTAGTGAAAGAGCCACCGCAGAATTCTTCTAAAGCAGCAGCAGCACTAAAGAAGCCGACGAGAACAAGAATTTCGCAATGGCTAATCTTTAGGGAGGTCAAGTTGCAACAATTTCGGGCAATTTGTTTGAGGTTTTCGGAACTCACTTGGACGAGATCAGTCATGTAGAAGTTTAGAGTCTCGAGAACGGAGTTGTTCATCGCGATCTCGTGATTAAAGAATGAATTTAATCGTGATTAACAAGCAAATTAACACCACTAAGCTTACAAATTGTTAACTAAACGTTAGAAAATTTTAAAGAACAATATATATATATATTTGCTTAAATTACACTGTGTGAACGTTTTAATCGCTTTTAAAGAACATATATATATATATATATATATATATATATATATATATATATATATATATATATATTTGCTTAAATTACACTGTCTGAACGTTTTAATCGCTTTTATTTTTGCCAAGCTGCTTATCTTTATTCTATCATATTTCTTTAAGTAATGAGTTTTAGATTCACTAGAACTTCCGGCCCTCCTAAAGTATTATTCCCATGCCCTCTAAATAAGATTGATATTAAATTTAAAATTTATGAAAAATAAATCGTTTTCACTTTAGTTGCTAAACATTTAACACTTACATTACAATTATTAAATTTTTAACTTGTTTTCATTATAATCGTTGTTAGGAGTGTAAATGAATTGAATTTAAATAAATAATGTTATATTTATGTTCGTTTGTTTATTGTTTGTAAAAATATTTTCTAACATAATTGTTTAAATGTTTAGAAATAGTAAAATCACGCCACTAGCCCTTTAATTCTTTAGGCTTCACGGTTTAAATTTTAAAGTTCGCAAAGTGTTCAATTTGATTCATATCTTCACTAATATTTAAAATACAAAACAAAAAAGAAAATGGAGAATATGGTAAACAAGCTTGTAAAAGAGTTGATAAAAGAGGTTCTTCGCGAACATAAACAAACTAAGTACACATTTATTCATGTTCGTTCGTTAATTAAATGAAAAAAAATTGTCCATACCCGTTATCTAGCTTAATATATACACATAAATGAACATTATACGAACGATTTATTCATTTACACCCCTAATCATTATCGTTAAAAGATTATGGCACGTTAATTTTTTTTCAAAAAATCTATTTCTAAATTGACAGCCACAAAAATAATCAAGTTTTCGATGAAGCAAAATGCTCGTGAATTAATCCCAACTGTAAAATGACTATTTGATTAAAAGATTAATATAATTTGATTTCAATTTAATTCAATAGTTAATAGTGATAGATCGAAACAATTTTAATTATTATTTTTTATTGAAATATAAACGGAGAAACAGTGATTGCCAATTTTTTTAGAGTTTTTGATATGCCATGACAACTTTCGTTAATGTTATAACGTTTTAGTGACTAGAATAAAAGATTTTCTTTAACAACAATAATTTTAAATAAAAAAATTTGATTTTGATGATCAGAATGAAAGTGATATAAAAATCCAGTGACTATTAGCATAGTTTATCCTATATTTTATAAATAAAAAAGAAAAAGAAAATTACCGGTACATGCTTCCGATGTGGAATAGTCCGTCGGTTGCAAATCCAGAGCATTTATCAAGCTTCAAATCCTGCAAAACTCTCCCTCTAGATCGAGCCAAAACCTGGAGATCCGAATCTCTAACAATCATCCTCCTAAAATGAAGAGATTTCAAGCAATTGAAGTTCTCCGCTATTTCCTGCACCCACGGCGTCACGAACCCTCCCCAATCATCGGGTATCAAATTGTACATCGCCGCCCGAGGCTTCCCTTTCAGTTTCAACGATTCCACCACCGGAAAACACCGCCGTAACCGATCGGGCGTAGTCGCGTAACAAAACGCGATGGTTATGTGCTTACGAGACGACGAGTCGAGCTCGTACCACCGCCGGCAGATGAGCGAAATGGCGTCGCGGTCAATCGGGTCGTGTACGTACGGCAAGACACATTTCAATACGGCGTCGGACATGCCGGTACTGAACGACGCCGTTCTGTGCAAATTGTTATCATCTTCCTCCATCCAAATAATCGAGCCGGATTAAAAAGGAGAGAATAAAATAAAATAAAAATCCGACCTGTAATGAACCAAGAAAACGGTTCACTTGAAAGCTCCTTTTATATTCGACGAAGTAGGTGAAAACAAACGGCGGTTGGACTTGGATTCGAAACGGGACGGAATCGGTACAGGGATGAAACGAACCGGGTCGGGTAGGGGTCGGATCCACAAGTAGAAGAAGAGAGATGGCATACAGAAAACTGAAGAAAGCAAAGCTGGGTGAAGCATTTTATAATAGATTGAAGCTTGTTTATTTTAAACGTGAACATATTTACACCTTTTTGTATAATATTTTATATATACATTAATATTAACTGAATTAAACTTGATCAAGATAAACTCAATTATACATCAACTTAATATTTAGCCATATAAATATATGATTTAACCCCAATTCACATATTAGATATAGTAGGGTAAAACACACAAATGGTCCCTTGACTATAGATATTACTTTATTGAATATCTCGACCATTAAAAGTTACAAAATAGTCACACGACTATAGGCATTGCATATTTTTCAAACTCGTCCTTTTTCGTTAAAAAATTGGCGGTCGTCTGAGCTGGACGTTAACTTGTTGACTAAGATATGATAGAATTTGATCCCATAACTGTTTTTTTATTTTATGGATCAACTCTCCATTTACATTATGTTGTCGAGCTAGTACTTGAAATATGATGTTATCGAGCCAGTGTTTGAAAGCAACGACGATGTTATTAGTTACCATTAAAATTTGATTTTATAATATTACAGTTAGTAGGTTAATGTCCAGTACAGACGTACGCCAATTTTTTAACACAAAAGAACGAGTTTGAAACATATGAATAGTTGGTGATTATTTTATAATTTTTAATAGTCAATAGATTCACCAAAACAACACCTTATAGTTGAGGAATCATTATGTAACTTTTAATAGTCAAAAGATTTAACAAAACAATACACTATAGCCAGAGGACTATTTGTGTACTTTATCCATAAAAAAAATTAGTGATTGATTTTAATTGGAAATCCCTTCCCTTGTTAATACATAGGATAAATATCCATATATTTTTACTAAAGATTATTCCATTTGTATCATAGAGATATATAAAAGACTGTATAAAACAATAGTATTATCTGAAAATTTTAGATTTTATATATAACGTGTATATATTTTATTAATGATTTATTTCTATACTCTTAAAATTTAATAACTTCGTATTTTAAAATTTTTAATATAATTTTTTTAAAAATCTACATCTTAGCATAAAATCTTATATAGATTAAAGTCAACTATTATTGTATTTTCTTCACCATAATTCACCATGTGCTTTAATATCATATTTTATTATAAAATATCTAATTCTTGCTTATAAAACTCTATTTTTGCCATCCACCTTCCACCCCTAGTAACCAAACCTTTGTCTTATTCTAAATACTTTATTTGTTGATAACTTGGCCCACGTTTAAAAATATATTATTAAATTACATCATTTAATTTCAATTATTAACAAAATTATATTATTAAATTATTTTAAAAAATATTAGATCAATACTCTTACTTTATATATTTTATATATCAATAAATTATTATCTAGTTGACATTTTAAATGCTTTTTAATTAAGTCATATGAAGGAAAGAAACAAACTTTTCTTTTCATTTTAACTTCATAACAAAGATTTGCAATTTGCAACTTTTCCCTATTCTAAGTATAAAAGTTATCAGTATCTCGATACTTATTTTATTGTAAAATAACATTTATTTAATCAAATAATATTTGAATAATTTGATAATTTACTTTTTTAATAATTTGAATGATTACACTATAAGAATTCTTTTAACCTATTGATTATAGGTACACAATCTAGATGCAAGAACTCAAATCTATTAAAAAACATTATTCTTCTCTCCTAACTAAAGACTCAATAAAATTTTAAATATTATTTACTTAAATAATATAAAAGGGCATTAATCCTACAATATTATCAGAGAAAAACATATTGTATTAATACTAAAATATAAAACTTAATCTGTTGAATGAAATGAAACAATGTAAAAGAAAAAAGTAGAGAAAACCCATAACATTTTTTCTAACCAAAGGGAAAAGCTCACTATAGGAAATACTACAAGACAGCAAATCCCCAAATGGGGTAAAATTCGGACTGCTTACATTTAAAATATGACAAACTGCAGATGCATTGATCTGCACCTTTCATTTTTAAGCAACAAAGGAAACCTCTACAAAGTAAACAAAAAACATTAACCTATTTCTTTTTCATTTAAATCACTGCTTAACTTCTTTCGAGTCCGAAAGTTTAGCAGCACTGCCATCACTGCTTGAACAAGATCCTTCCGAGCCAATAGATCCTATCGACTTCTTCGTATCAGGACTATCAAGGCCGCTGCTACATTGTCTTATAAGGCTATCTGACATGGAGGTCGAAGAAAGTGTAGCGAAACTCATGGTGGCAATGCCAGTGGCAACAGCGCTAACATCTCTAGTTCCGCTATATAGACCCCTGCTTCCTGTAACAAGGATACCTTTTTTCTCATCAGTAGTCAGAACCGCTGGTAGTACATCAATCAATGGGGGGTTGCTCTGAGTTGAATTGCTGATGAGTAGCCGGAGAGTTTCTCTTGCACCTTTCTCCATCACTGAGTCAGTAGTATCAGGTAATAATGGGTTCACAAGGTTTGGATGCAATGGAGGGATTGTGGTTGATATGGTAGCACCAGCACTAACCAAGTAGCCTTGTCCTGAAGAGCAAACATCAATGACCGGAATATGAACAATGGGATCACAGATCAAAGGTGTGAAGGTTGGAATTTGCTGTGAACTTGCCAGGGGCAGCCGGACCAACGGTTCTGGGAGGAAAGCTGGAAAATCAAGTGAGGGAACATCGGCAAGACCAAGAGGAAGAGTTGGTTTCAACGGGTTGGAGGCAATATTTGTTGGCAATATTGACGAAAGTGGCGGAAGCTTAAAAGATCCGATTGATGAGGCAGTTAGTTGAGAGGCAGCTGAGTGTTGCACAGTCGATGATCCTGGGGGGCACCAACAATAGTAAGGAGAAAAGAGAGGATAACCTAAGGTTGAAACTTGAGAAACACTGCTTGGAGTTGGAGGAACTGTAAGTTTTCCAAGCGATTCCAGGAAACTTGGGGGGAATGAACAACTCTTGACATCTGGAAGCTTGACATTATCAGCTTGACTGCAATTCGACGAATTGTTTGTAATAGGTGAAGCAATTGTAAGGCTCTCAGCTACCTGAAGATAGTTATCTCTGCGCCTTCGCAACTTATCCCTAGCAGTGCTCCTCGGAAAAGATAAGTTTCGGGTCAAACCCTCTTTGAAAGAGCTTGATCTTGGGCTTAAGTTACCTTGATAAAGTGCATTCACCTTGAGGGCTTGACTGCTAGAGTATCGGGATCGCAAAGATTTTGATGCAGTTGACAAGGACTGCCCACTGTGCACACTGGGTGAAGGTGAACCAGAACAACTTGTTTGTATATTCACTGTTGTTCCCAGGAGGTAAGCACGGAGCTGAGTTGCGAAACAGCCTAGTCTTGACTCGCTGATTCCAGTTAATTCAGCTATGGATGGTTTTCTCTTGATCAGATCCTTCATCTATTAAAGGAAAAAACACCATATTAGATAGAAAAGGCTTCACAAACAAAGAAATTTGCACAGAACTGTTGGCGAGAGTACTAAAGAGTTGAATATCAAGTACCTTTGAAAGCAATTCAACCCCCAAGAGCTTTGACTTCTCCGAGCACCAATAGTAAAAGGCTTTGTCATCTGGCACTTTCACAATGAAAGATCGTCCAGAAATGTCTGCAGGAATCTCATTGATGGAAACTGCAGCACACTGAGGTTTGTCGCTTAAGGTAGACAACCTCTCTGTTTGACCATCATCCCCAACAAATGAAAGGCGCAAGTCCGATGTTGGAAGAAGCGTAAGACAAAAATTTCCTCTGTGACAATTCAAAAAATTAGGAAACATTTTAGATTTCAGAAAGAGAAATTACAAGTGAAATATAACATTACAACTTGCATGAACCAAGCTGTAAGATTAAACAGTTGAAATCATCCTAAAAAGGCCCAAGTGGGAATTCTAATTGGAGGGATTCAGCTGTAAGTTATAGAACTATAGCAATGGTAACCAAATAAGATAAATAAAGGTTTTAGGGAACTTCTATTTTGGACGTCTATGGAAGGCTGGGACCTTAATTTATAAATTCAATATAAAAAATCCCTAGAGAAGTTCAGTTTTTTCTATCTCAAGCTTCACACACGAATCTAAAAGTACCCATCTGCTATGACAGTAACACTTAAGAACTTAATATTTTGGTTTGTTCAAGCAAAACAACAATAAGACAAAGCTACTCAATGATTTAATGTCAACTAAAGACACAGTCTAGCATTCCTATACATTTCCAAATGTATTGTTTTATGGTCTCAACAATTCACAAACAACCAGGGGAATATCATGCAACACATCTTACAAACTTCCCTTAAACAAATATGTACAGATATGAACAAGTATAAGGGCTGTCATAAATTCCTATAAAGAATTTGATCAAACTCATGACTATATAATAAAACAATCAAATCAACTAATAAATGGAAGTAATACGGCAAAGAATAACTATGGGATAGTAATGGCTGGGTAAATATACAGTTCATATTTGAAACAAAACTTACGGAAAAATTAAGAATGCTGACACTGACAAAGCAGCATAACTGTAATTCATACAAGTCACTAGCACCCTATTTTACTTGTAATTGATTCATTACATGTCAATCCTGTATATCCACAAAACAGCAGCAGCAAACCATATAATATGGGAGATGAAACTACCTTTATTTCCTCATAATTCAGAGATCATTATAGAATACGCCCACTTTACCTACAGGTGAAAAGATATATTTATTTGGAAGCATGAACATGATGACCAACAACAAGCTGAAATAGAATCCTGCAATTTCTACCGATTATCAACCACAAAACATACACCTCCCATTCAAATTATAAAGTAAAATAAATGTGGTACTACATAACAGATTTTAACACATTTCAATTAGTTGCTAGATTAAAACACTATGAGAAAATGTTAGTGGATGATACAGATATAGGGATTTCGCAGACAACAGTTATCAAAACATAATAAATAGACCAAACTCCAAACTTCTAACCATGCAGATTGCAACCAGATAAGATGCACCAGTATAATAAATCATGAAATTGATCAAAAATGGACTCAACACAAGGCTATATTAAAAATAATGTCCAGTAAACCTAAAAAATAATCAAAAGAGAAACAGTCACAACAATTAAGAAATAACCCAACATAGAACAATGACACAAAGGGGAGAAAAGAGTTGTAGTAATCCAAGGTACATTGCCAAAATGATATATGCTTAAAGACAATGAAAGATCAAAGTCATGAGGCCATTACAAAGGTATCACTGATGAATAAAAATTATGGGCGAAAAACTAGGGAAAAGGGCGCTGTGTCCATAATTGGTCTTTAATATTTTGAACTAAGCATTAGCTCACTAATTTGATAATTCCAAATTTCAAACTAAGCATTAGCTCACTAATATGATCATTCCAAATTTCAAACAATGCATTAGCTCACTAATATGATAATTCCAAATTTCAAACTAAGCATTAGCTCACTAATATGATAATTCCAAATCTAAACCTTAAAAGGAAGAAAAGAGTTGTAATAATCCAAGGTAAATTCTTCATGTGCTATAAGCTCGGGATCATGAAAGATCAAAGGAATGAGACCATTACAGTGGTATCATTAATGCATATGAACTATGGATAAAAGCCTAGGAATAAATGTGCTATATTTTTACTTGGTCTTTAATATTCCAAACTAAAGATTAACTTAGTAATTTGATAATTCCATATTTAAATGAAAAAAGGGGAAACATCTACCATAAAAGACTAGATTCTAGAGAGATCAAAATGTAAAATTCTATAGAAATTGTGAACAATTAATTAAGCGTATGGCTGTGTGATATGTGTTATTGATAAATACTAATAGTTTGCAACAAAAAGGATATCATGAATCCCATATACCGAACATGATATCCAGACCAGGTTAATCTATGACAATCCGCCGATAAGGGTAAAAATTCAACTACCTTACAGAAGTAGGATGGAAACGAATCCCTTGCTTGTTGATCTTCCCCACACGAATAGAAACCAAAGGTATGCAAAAGCACCTCGCCAGCATACCAACTTCAGATGGCTCAAAGTGCTGAAAATTTTATGCAAACAAATCAAAATAAACACATATTCCTTCAAGTCGAAAATTTTCCGAAGCAAATACAGATTTGAGCTATTTTTTCAAGTTAGAGTTCGATTAAAAAGGATAAATAACATAAACATCATATTTATCAATATACCTGACTCAAATGTGATAACAATCGATCCTCAGCAACGCCGTTTGAGACATTGACTTTCAACAAAGGCTTTAACCTTTCATCGGTTCGACATGCACCAATTACTTGCATATCCAAAGCTTGTAGCCATTGCAAAACCCTATCCTCTCGATCGCTTTGTTGAAGCAACAAATCTCCGTCGTTCTCCTCTACTAATATGTCCGTTAACCGTTCCGTGAGTCCGATTCCGTTCCTCACCTCACCGTTCTGTCTGGAATTTGTTCCAGATCCAACGTTAGAGGTCTCAGCAACGCTGTTGATTGAGGACGACGCGTCTGACGATTCGATTAACTCGTCGTCATTTCGATCCACGCGATCGTCGAAAAATTCTCCGTTTCTAGATTTAGACATCTTAGAAATCAAACAATTAGAACAAAAAGATCTCGAGAAATCAAATTCTTCGATCGATTAAGAAATTATAGATTTGATTTACGAAAAGATATATGCAATTAATAGCGTGAAGATCGAAGAGATCGAACGGGTAAAACTTCGATGGAAGCGTTGTTCAGAGAAAGAGGGAGGAAAATTTTAGAGCGAGTTGAATATGCCTCCTTCACAAAAATGGTATAATTAAAGATTATTGAGGGACCCTGAAAGTTGCTATATAAAAGAGGAAAAGGCGGACGTCAATGTGCTGTTAGAATACCATTAATTGTTGCATTTGAGATCCGTGATTGGTTTGATTATGTTACTCATTTATTTTATTTTTCGGATAAAATATATAGTACGTCATTGAAGTATGATCAAACGATTATTTTATCTATTAAAAGTTTAAAATTATATAATAATCACTACATTTATTAAATAATCACTAAATTTATTAAATAACCACTAAATTATATCAAATTGTTAAAAAAATAAATTCGATCAAATTGTTAAAATGATATTGATTATATAGTGTCTCAATTATCACTGATTATTTTATAATAATTTAATAAATTTAATAATAAATTTATAATTTTAAAAATTTGATGTCGGAAACAATTATTTAACCACAATTCAATGATTAGTGTATTTTACCCACTATTTTTAACTAATTTAATTTTTACTTATTAAGTTAAAAATTGAGATTTAATTATTTTATTTAAAAATGAAACTAAATAAATATTTGTAATTTTTTTGTAAAATATAAACTTCAATCTCGTAAATATATTTTTATTGATTTTAAATTATCTAAATCGAAATAGATTAGGTATTTACTTTTATTTTTATTTTTATTAAGTTAAGGCGATTACAAAAAAATATATGTTTTAAATATTCTTAACCGTTTGGTAATGAACACTTAATCACATTGCAGTTGCTAGTGTTCAAATCTATGACGTTTAGGAGTAACTACGTTTACTTTAAATACAAAGATAAGTTGGTTTGTACTATATACTTAAATTTGTTAAAGAAGTCACATTATATCTAATAAAAACTTTAAATAAGATTTTAAAAGAAAAATAGACAAAAGTTTTGGATATATGAATGCAAATCTGTATCCAAAAAATAAATTAATTTAAATAATGAAAATATTAAATATGCACTATTCATTGCCATCTTTGATTATATTTTAATTTTATATAATTTAATTTTTATTATTTTATTAGTGAATCCAAATTGATAATTAGATTAATTTGTTGTTATTGAACGGATGACGTATAGATTTTTTAACATCTTTAAATATTCTATTTATACATATTATTAATTGAATATAATTAACTAATTTAAATTAAATATTATAGTGAACAAAATTTCACGATATTTACCAATTTCAACTGAAGGTGTTAGATTCTAAAATTTAACCTAATAGAGGGACCAAAGCCATAACAAAACCTTCATAATTTTTTAAAAGACCACGTCAGCCTTTTATTTTCTTAGTCGTGTGGGCCCCACTAAAACAGAAAAGGCCACGTCACGGGGTGATAGTGGAGTGTGGGTTGTTTGTTTCTGTTTGGGACCCGAGAAAAGGAAATAAAATATTAGAAGTGATAGATAATTTAGCTAATAGAAAATGACGTGTTCAAAATTATCGTGGTGATGGGATGTTTTATTGGGTAAAGTACAACATTAGTTCCTAAATTATTATTTTTGTATTGTTTTGGTTATTTAAAAAAATATAAAATAATTATTAAATTTATTGAATTACTATAAAATAAAGATCTAATTAAAAAATAGAGAGATGTATATTATTATAATTATCTTAAATATAATAAATAAATTTACTATTATCTCGATCAATTCAAATCAATTTTTTTTTATTCTAAACTCAAAACTTGACCTTATCCAAAATCGAATTTTCAAAAAAGAAAAGAAACCAACATTATAAATTCAGGTTAGTCAAAACACACCGGATTCAAGTCAATTGTTCATCCTATCTTACAATGACCATGTTGTAATAATTATGATAAATTTAATTATTATGTTTTACCATTTTTACAAATTCAATGACCAAATGATATAAAATCATAAATGAGAGACTACCAATGTACTTTACATTCATGCCGTTTGGGATCGTGGCTTCGGAGAGGAGAAGATTCAAAAGTTAAAGGAAAGACAAAATGATATTTAGTGGGGCCATTAAGGTGACTTAATTGATAGTTGAAGGGACAAATCTAAACAAAATTCTATACATGAAATAATTAATGGAATTAAGTGGATTATTTAATTACTTCATACTATAAATAAAATATAAAGAATTTGAATAGATAAATATAAAATATTTGTCTTAATAATGAAAATAGTCTTTAAATTATTATTTTTTTTATTTTTTATTAGGCATCCAAATATCATTGACGTGTAAGATTTTTTTATAATGTTAAAAATATTTCCAAAACATTTAACCACTCATTTTTTTTTGAATTATTATGATTTCTAATATTTTTATTTTAAGTGTAAAAAGATCTTTTATGGAAATGTAAATCGTTACTTTACTTAAAATGAGACGTTAGCAGTTAAAATATATACAAAAAATAAAAAAAGTAATTATTCAATGAAATAATAAAAGTGTTTTGCCTTAGAGGCCTATTATATAATCTATTTAACAACACTTTTAAAATGCGTTGGAAAAATCTTTTTAAGAAATGTTTTTAGTTCATTTGTTAATATATAACAATTTTGTCAAAAATACTTTTATTTCTTTTTTGAACAATTCTTACTTAGAAGAAGAAATGAGAAATTTATTTCTAATAGGTATTGAACTTACGATCTAGAAAAGGAGATATAAATATTTTTTAATAACATGTTCTAAGAAAACATATAAATTCAAAATAAATTTTGTCTAAATTGACATGAAAAGATATAAAATTTTAAACCCATAAATGTTTAGTAATCATATAACTATGCATTGATTAAAAAATTATAAAATAAACAAGCCTATAGGATAATAAAGGAATGGTAAAACTATAATCTAACTCCAAAAGCACTTTTCCAAACGTAAAAGCTAGAAATTTCAACTTTTACATTTTGGTTGAAAAACACTTTTCAAACTTGACCCTTTTTTTCTAAAAATTATTTGTTAAGCATTGCTTATAGCTCTAAAATGCTTTTTAACCTCAAAAGCACTTTTGATAAGCAATAAGAAATAAGGCCCAAGCAATATAAACATAAAGGAACATAAACACGATTATGGTACCCCCAAAAAAAACTCAGCATAAAATTATAAAATTAGTTCGCAAGCTAGAAAACTGTCTTCTAATCCTCGGGCAAAGTTCATTTAATTTAAAATCCTCAAACACAAGACCAATAATTATGGTGAACCTAATAGAATTTGCGGTGTAACCAGTAACTTATCAGTAGAAGGCTTACTATCTAGATCACTTCTTTTTTCGGTTCTGCTGCATAATCATTTATTAGTGCTTCGACGTCTTTCCAGAATAGGCCCTCCACCAATACTCCGTCCTTGGTGAACCTGCAATATTTTTACAGGTTAGTAATGTAAATGAAATGCAGGTATGCAAATGGGGCAGGAGAGAGCGAATTTCTTTTTTTTTTGTGGGGGGGGGGGGGCAACTACCATTGGGTAACACTTTTGGTCAACTCGACCGTTTTCCCTGCAGATATTGACTTGGGATCTGCACTCGCTATCGTAAGGGTATAAAGATCAGAGAATCTTGGCAACTTTGAAGAGACCACCAAACCAGTGCTGGTGACGGATCCCTGAAAGCATGGAATCAGTACTTAGACGTAGAAAACAAAAACTAGGTGTATGATGTAGTGGATTTACTTCTAAACTTAAATTACAAAGTTCCTTCTACCCACAGGCACTCAAAAAGCACCACACTACTAAGCTTTTCCTTTTTTTTTTGGAAGACCATGTAGAGGTTTAGGCAATGATAGGGATTTGTTTGTATTGAGTTTGTACCGCAACATCATCGACCTTGGGCAATATTCAAGAATAAAGGAGTCTATGGATTGGATGCTAGGCATTGTTCCACCTCATTACTTTGAGCATAGAATATTTATAGACTAAAAAGGTAACACTATAATAAGGATGAAATGTAATAACTAAACCATTAAGAGAACACAATAAAAGTAGATATAGTCCTAAAACTCCTTTTTCTTCAATTTTATTGATTGCACTAATCATGCATTAATACTAATAAGACAGAGCAGAGTTTGATGGTAATGTCATGAACCAGTAACCATGCAAATATTGCGGAAAGTTCAACATCACAGGCTCAAACACGTCAAGAACAATGTCCAAACTTATCATACATGAAGATAATCTTCGCTTAAAGGAAAAGAAATCAACATATAACATAAGGAAATATTTAATTATAAAGCAAAGAACTTACAGCAGGAGGATAAGTAAAGAGAATGGCATTCTTTTCCTTTGTGTATATGATCAGCTGGAGTATTCCATTGAAGACTACATATTTTCCAGAGTCAAGGATCATAGAAACATGAAAGTAACATAACCACATAAGAGATTACATTCTTTATTTGCCCAAAAAATCAGGGGAAAAGCGGAAACTATGTTAACACCATCTAGTTCTGAGTAGTAGGTACATTCTAACCAATCGGTTTCCAGTTTAAGCATCAGAAACTAAGACAAAAGATTATCATTGTTTTGGCCTCTCTTCACAAGTAACAAGAAGCCAAATGTCGAATCAAGGTAAGGTGAAGGACAAGAGTTTTCCTTAAAGATCTTAATCATTTAATTTTAAAATAGGACTGAATTGATAGGAATTTCAACAGAACTTGCTTCATAAACAAAATTTCCATATACTTAGTCTAGTAGGCGTAGCTGCTATCACTGCTCAGTTTTATATCTAGAAAAAAAATCCCATTTGGTTACAAAAGCTAAAATACTTTTACCTAAACAAAATTTAAAAGTTAACAAATTTTCTTGTGGATAATAAAGCACCTAATTCCTAATTTCACTTTCATATGGATAATTATGATTAGATCTGTATTTTTATATTTATAATACTGGATTACATAACTAATTGTTTCTATTAAATAATCAAAATTAACAGCCAAATAGAGCCTAATTTATATTCTATCCAGTTT